GGGGGGAAAAGGGGGGTCTGAAACACAGAACAGCTGATCGATCTTGTACAGGATTTGGCAAACCAAATGTCAAAACAGCTTAGCTTCTCAACTGTCCTGCTATACGAGTAGTCTTACACAATCATAGATTTAAAAATAAACAATCCTTATGGTTTTGTTTTCATGCAGGATCAGAGATGAAAATTTTAGCAGGTTGGTTCAGTTCACTTTAATAGACGTATTTTGTATAGCATTTTTTAAATAAAAAATTTATATAATTCATATGCATTGTTGATTACTGTATCCAGATTCAAAGTTTATCTTATGTTTTAGTTGATTATTTAGGCACTCACATACATTGTAATAAAATCAAATGTTTTAGGGTACTTTGATACTTTAATTTACTTATTAATATAAATAAACAAATGAATAAATAAAAAAATAAACAAAGAAATACAAAATAAATAAATAAATAATAAATAATAAATAAACAATAAATAAACAATAAATAAATAATAAATAAATAATAAATAAATAAATAAAATAATTATATGATTTTGTACGGATGGTGTAGATGTAAATTGGCCCCGTGTATAGGTCTTACCATGAGTAACGGTAATAGCTTATTACCTTTGATAGATTTATGATGTCTGCTTTACTTTTTGGCTACAGTTAACAACGGACAAGCCATAGTTCCAAATTCCTCCAGAGACAAGTTTTAACATTAACTACAAGTCTACAAAATAGACAGGATAGCCGAGGGATTTAGCACTCGCCTTTAATTTGAAGATTGCTGGTTCAATCTCGATCAAAATCCATTCTATACCCAGATGGCATTAGTAATTGGGCTTCCTATTGATAATGGAAATAGTTCGACAATAGGTCGAAGTTAGATGGTAACTATATCACTGTATGGACCATTCCCTTAAAACACACGTATATAATGCTATCGGCGTATACAGCACACACAGAAGTAGTAAGCAAATGTGAACTTGTACTACAAATCTCATTTATATTCATACCAACAAACATGATGTTGTCAACTAGTAAAGGTTTCGCATATGTTTTGTGATGATTCACCCAGCTAGAGCGTCTGTCACTTTGACAGTTGCAGTCAGCTGTTGGCTGTCTCAGTTTCTTGTGTCAGCTGTTTTACATTGTGACATCATCAGGCTGCCCTTCACTTTGAAAATACAAGTGTTATAGCCTAACTATTATCATTGTTCATTTATGAGTGAATGATGAGTGTGGGATGGAGTGAGTATCTTGTATAGCTTTGTTATTGACTTAAGACCAGCTGTTTCAAATACCAATGATAAGGTACTGTTGGGTCCAGTTTCGAACAATCAAAAAGCTACTCACCTTTCTCAGGATAAAACTAGCGGTCTTTTAATTACCAGCCGATTACTGTAATCACTCATCTACCCAATTCAAACGCCTCGCAACTTAAGAAATCAACCAGCTCGTTAACTTTTATTTCCTAATAAAATTTTATTTGTCTGTTCATACACAAATTTAAGAAGAGTTGAATGTACAATTGTTGATGTTTGGCCTGAGTTATAGTCCAATTTGTACGATAGTGTTTCGACTCACTCCCAGATGTCTGATTTGTTAAAGTTTCTACGACTTATCGTATTATTGTACCTACTTCTAATACCCTATTTCATTGAGGAGGTGGTCCCATATTTCTCAAAAATTGTATTGGAGACGCAAGTTATATACTATATTTCGTAATTCCTTGTAACTGTTCAACAAAGAATCTCCTCGTATAAGGTGAACAATGAACCTAGTCGTATAGAGGAAGCTACAGTTACCAAAGATAGGTATACAACATCAGTCGCAATCTAGAGCATAGAGTCGATATTGATGAGCATTCTTGTGGAAATTCCCAATTAAGTTTGGCATGCAGAACGGAGGACGTGATCGCAACTTGAATAACGTCAAATGAAGGGAACAATTAGTAAAATAAATGGTCTAGAAGTCACCGGGGGATTAAATTGTTGATAAAACGAATAGGGTTACCTACAAACTGGTTTTATCTTCCATCTGGCCACTTGCAGTCTTGCTCTATTCCAATTCAATACTACCCAAAGCAACATTACACCCTTATCTTTTGTAAAATTATTTTCCACTTACCAATTAACCTCGACATAGAATTATACCCTCAATACACTGTGATTACATAGCTCAAAACAAATAAAACAGGTCTTAATAGAGGAAGACTACGAAAATGTAATTTCCCCAGTGAGGAAATTGCCTAAAATGATTGTGCAAAGTGACATTTTTGTCTGAGAAAAGCGATGTACGGCTCTCGGCCGCGTTTTGAGTTATAACAATTTCCACGGTGGGAAATGGCTTCTCTTTCCCGGTAATAGCTCTAGGATCGCAGTTTGTCTTTCGTCCCTTTAAACATCGGCGTGGTCACATTTATGATAAAAATATAGACCGAGTAGAGTAAAAATATAAATACTCACTGAAAAAATATATATTACATACTCACGTAGTATAAATACCTTGCAAGTAACTTTGAAAGAAATTAATTTAATCTAATCTCAATTGCTAAAGGTGTATGCTTATAAGAATGTGATATGAAAAGGATAAGATCTAAATTCATGTTTTCGGCCCCTGGACTATATTAGCTTTGACAATTTTGTCTTCGCAACAAAACATGTAAGCTGTTGTGCAATTTATTGGACTATTTGACTGAGGTATGTAAAAACCCTATTATTGTATTAAAAGGACAAGCCTACAGTGACAGCACGTTTTCTATTACAAAATCGTCTTGCTGTACAAATGCATCGCAACGGGGTTAGGCGGGCCACAGGAACGGGGTTTTACGGGGAGTGTTATGGGGTAAAAATTGAATTTTCTAATTGTTGACCCTCAAAACACAAAATTCTCCAATTTCTCTCTATACCATTTTAAAGAGCTAAATAACAACAAATAGCTTAGTACATCAAATTGTTATTGTACGGTTATTGGTCACGGAAAAAAATCAAAAAGCTGTAAATTTAAAATTCCAATGTTATTCTTTCGGAGAATATTGTAAAATGTTGTAGTTTGGTTGTTAGTGGATATATTTTGATCAAACTTGGCAAATTTATATATTTTATACGAAGCTAATGATATTTAAAAACAACACTTTATTAGTCTCCCTGTAGCAGCATACCTAGGCACTTGTTAAACCTTATGTAAAAAAGAGATTGTTATTTATAAAGATTGTTTTTGTAAACACTTTAGAATGAGGTGTCACTTGAAGGGGGGGTTTACATTAAAAATATTGTCGAGTTGCCTCCGAAATTCCCCTTTTTGGAGGACATTTACAAAACTTCAAAATGATAAAATGAAACTTTCTTCTAAGATTGCAAGACCACCAAAAGGATATCTCTGTATATTTACTTATACAAATATTAGAAGGGAGGTCTTGACATTTTATTCACCCTGTAATAAAATATACTAAGACCTGTATTATAATCCTGTACTATATATATTGTAAACCTGTATTATATATTGAGAATTTCGATGGGCGATGCGCTCCAATGGACCGCCGATATGACAGTAAAGCATGATATGAGGTTTTCAGATCGTTAAGTCTAGATGAGCAAAGAGGAATGTTATTAGAACTGACAAAGGATGGACTTCCAATTTTGTCTTGTGGACACACATGCTCTCCTACCTGATTATTTTTCCTGTTAAAAAATATGTTTGAAATGTTAAAGTTTAGTATATAATACTGAACAAATAACAAATGAGTGTAAGTAAGATATGAACTACGTATATACAGACTTGCTATGCGTTATGTTTTAATTACTATCACTATGCGAATACACTAGGAAACATACAGCGTGACAATAATTAAGTTATGTTATTATATAAGATTATTATAAAAGATATTGATGAAATCACGGATCTTTTAAAGTTGGTTATACACTAGAACTATTTCGAGTTTGTGCACAAATTTTATGTTCAAAAAGAAGGACCAGCAATGGGCAATCCGTTCTCAGGCCTCATAGCTGTCATCGTCCTCAATCACATAGAAAATGCACATATACTCATGACCGACAATCGAACACTTGCTAAAATATCAACTTACCACCTATATGTTGATGACATTTTCGCCATTGTAGATGGTAATAGAAGAGAGGCTCAGTGAATATTATCTCAGCTCCATAACAATCTCAAGTTCACTGTAGAATTAGAAGAAAACCAGGCAATCAACTCTCTGGATATTACAGTTAAGAAATCAAACAATAATTTTGAGTTTGAAATATACCGAAAGCCAATTGCAAAGGAACACACGATTCATAAAACATCAAACCACCCTTGGTCACATAAACTTGCAGCATATAACTCCATGGTTCATGGACTATTATCATACCATTTGAGCCAAGAAGCTTATAATAAGGAATACTTATTAAGCATATCGCCAGAGTAAACGGGTACACGCTTCAAATGATTCATTTCATAATACAAAAGAAAAAAAGCAGAACATGAACATCAACAAAGAAAAGTCAGAGAAGAAATACATTAAAATGCAGTACTATGTTTAAATAAAAAACGTCATAATACAAATATTTAATAGGAACAATACGACGGTCGCACATTCTGTAAACATCACACTTCAAAAGTTTTTCCACGCCAAACCTGTCGCCACAAACAATTAAGAAAAATCAGGCATCTATAGAATTAACTGTGACGACTGTCCAAAGTACTACATCGGCCAAACTGGAAGATCTTTCTAACAAAGATTAAAAGAACACAACATCAGCAATACAGTTATGCCGAACGTTTACTATCGGAATCGCACATCTATACATCTATTGATAAAAACATGAAAATAGTTGAAGATTTTTCCAGTCAAATATTATGTTTGATATATATATTAACAAGCCACGAATCAAAGATGTATAAAATAAGAAGAACAAAACAAACTGAAATACAGATGGCACTGGAGAGAAGAAGAGAAGAAGACACCTCATGATTCAGTCAGTTTTGTTTAGTCAGTGACAGTGATAACACAGTGCTAGCCAGCGTTTACAATTTTAACCAGTGTAACACTTTTTATTCCATTTTAATAATTTAAAGAATCTTTTGACATTCCACAATGTACAATACATTGATGATGTGGCTGCATAAAATGAACTGAAAAAGTTCTAAGGAACAAAACTAGTTGTCATACCAGCAACTGTGGTTGGATAAGGTAATCCTTTTATTATATCAATAATAGTTATGTCTTAGGACGACTTTGTAACTTTGAAACGGAAAGAGATATCACAACCAAATTTGACATGCAAAAAGAAACTATAATAGGTTTTTAAAACCAGATATCAGTTTTAAGTTCTAATAGTTACATTCAGTTAGGCTTGAATTCAATTTTTTCGTTTGATATGTATTGCCTTTAGACCTTTTGCATAGCAATAACACAATTATTATATAAAAAAAAAAAAAAAAAATGGTTGCCAGTCTTTTTCAGACGATACGGATGGACAATTAAAGGGAAACTAAACAAAAGTATGAGGAATAACCTATACTCATCGATGTATTATTATTATACATCAATGCCTATACTGCACTATTACCAATATAAGACGCCAAAGAATTAAACATTCTAACGCCGATTTGTATACATACAATACTATAACTAAATACAATTGAGAAATGAACGTGTACATGTTGTGAAGACTGAAACTGATATTTACTGCACAATTTATTTTTAATTTTTGTACAGTGCACGAAAATTGGGAATAAACAAGTAGCAGGGTTTAACATGACTTGCTATAAGTGTGACTGACTTGCTTTCATATTTGATAACTACAAGAAAACATGCCCGGGGCAACAATTTGTCTTGTAGGGTGCTATCTCATGGTGGAGTATTGTGAACGAGTGGTACAGTACATGTGATGATATTAATTGTTTAGTTAGGTAGGGTTATATATTGTAGTTATTACAGGCTTCTATTTCTAACTTATTTTTGCTACACCATCACACAGCTAAAAGTGATCAACGTGCTACATTAAAAATCATTACTGTTTATAATCGCGCGAAATGTATATTTTATAACGTTACAAAATTGCATTTTTGTGAGCTACTAATTCAATACAAACAATTCCATTTTGACTTCTGAACATCAACTTGTCGTCCGAAACAAAGCAGATACAATCATGTTTCTTAACATATGATACCAACAGCCAGATGTTGCAGATGGTTTTGCGTTTCCTTTTCCGCTTTCCACTAAAATATGTTATGCATGTGATACGTAGCTTGTCGCTTTTTGAATAATTTGATTCGGTTTTATCAAAATTATTCTAAAGTATTCAATTTTGTTTAGCGGAATTTTAATTAAGGCTAGTTAAGTTTTTATTATTTTCTCTGAGGACTATTAAATAGTCAACATTTGATCTCAGTTTGTTTTCGATATATTGATACTGTGATAATGTATAATGTGTGATCGATGACTGTATAATCGCTCTGAGTCGTCCTGTGAGTTATAATTATTGTAAATTTGTTTTTGAATTTGTATTTAAATTTGTATTTGAACTTGTTAAGGTTTAACATTGGATGACGTACTCGATATAAATCAGTGTTGGCATTTTTTTAATGTTCCAAATTAACTAAGTTCATATTTACAACAAAATAGTTTTAGGTTTACCATTAAAAAGAGATCTTTACTTTTGTCCATATTGCTTTGTTAAAACAAGACCATTGAATTTCTTCATAGAATTAGCTTACCTAACGTATTGATATCCATTATAAATTTTAATAAATCGTCACTCGAATTGAAATAAATTCAAAACTTGACTCGAATTAAATTTAAAAACTGCGATTAATAACTACGTTGGCTAAAATACGAACTCTCAGAAGGCGTTAGAGCCATTATCTACACAATTAATTAAACGGCCCAATTAGGCAAGCAGCTTCCGAATGCTGGATGGTCTGTAAGGGTGAGAGGGGGTTAGTATATAGGGGGGGGGGCGCGTGGCGACCTAGTAGTAATTGATAATTGATCGTTCTAACAGGTCAAACTGTCCTACAATAGCTGGGTCAGGTTTCCTCTTGCAATCTCGTATAATTAACTATTGTGTTTGTCAGATAAGTTCAGGATTAGATGTATACCTGAATACAGCCATCTTTTCGTCATACTACAGCAACAATTAATAATTGGTTTTCTTGAGGAGAAACATGTCTGCTGTAAACCATGAAAACCTGTTGGATCTAATTGTTATTGTTGTACACTTTTGTTTAGAGTATGACCTATAAAATCTTGTGTAAACACGGCTTTAAAATGCAGATTTTTGATATTCAATAACATCTGAAACAATTAAAAAACTTATGTAAAGCAGTAGTTTACCATGTAAAACAGTAGTTTATCATGTAAAGCAGTAGTTAACCATGTAAAGCAGTAGTTAACCATGTAAATCAGTAGTTTCCCATGTAAAGCAGTAGTTTCTCATGTAAAGCAGTAGTTTCCCATGTAAAGCAGTAGTTTCTTATGTAAAGCAGTAATTTCCCATGTAAAGTAACAGTTTCCAAAACATTAATATGGAATAAAAAAAAAACAGAGATTCTTTTAATGCAAGTATTTTTATTTTCGTGGGTTTCGCCATATAAATAATAAATATTAAAAGTATAAAACTATGAACTATAACCAAAACATATAAATTAAGAAACAACGCTATTATAGCATACAGCACAGGCCTAGCATTATAATTGTCCGAGGTGGAACCAGCAGGAGGGTTGGTTAATGCCAATGGCCCATTAGTGGTGAATGAACTTTAGATGCATTCTAGTTTGGGAACATCGATTAGGTCAAAATGATGAAACATAATGTAATTTTCTAATACATTTCTCCATTAAATTTTCTATATTTAAGCTATTTATAGCTAATGTAATACTCCTGACAATATTCTCTGTTCCAGTATATTTAGTGTTATAGATTTAATAAACGACATAGTATTTGTTTAACTTCTCCAGCCGGTACATAATGGCCTGTAAAAGTGTTGCATTACCAATAACTATTGTTTATTGTCATTTGTTGTTAATCCACATTTAAACCATATTCTCATGTAAAATAATATCCTTATCTATTGAATATACAAGTTGAAATCACTGGAAAAATTCTTCGCTCAGCTCTGTACTGTATATCGTTTAGGTGTAAAAACACTCACAATGTATTTCGAACTATTTCAATATCTTTAACATATGAGGGGATTTGTTTAATAGCCTGTTATGTAAGCATTCTTTCGTGTAAAAAGTCCTAAGCGCGATTCTCTATCTGTACGTGTGATTGTCAAACTACAGATAGATTGACCAATTGAGACAGTTTGAGTAGTATGTGATTCTACAGTTACTCGCAGGCGCTGGATGCAATACAGTAGCAGTATATATATTGCATACACAAGATTGCACGGCGCTACTACGCTCAATCGCACCAAATTGCATTTTCATGTTTCCCTAACTTCTTTGTGCACGAACGTTTGTCACTAGCATAATATTTTTATGCATATGTTTATATTACATCACTATTACACTCGTTGTTTGCAATTGCATACGACTCAAACTGCTTATAAAGCGTAATGTCCTGTCACATAGTATACGTTAAGGGGAATTTTCGTAACTGTAACAATTCTTTTTACTTTGCTCAAATAACAATGATTCCTTAAGAAGGAAAGGCTGTTTAATTCAGCCGAAAGAATTCCGAGGGTCATTAACTTTGTTGAGCATCAAAGGAAAGGAATGAAAGAAGTTGAAAGTGAAGTCCAACTGTATTTAAACACTTGTGAAACACTTGGCGAGAACTCTGCTATTTTACTTGTCATGTTGGGCTGTATGGAATAGTTTGTATTTATCTAGAACTGTATGTTATGTCTGGGTAAGAAGTAAATTACGCATTAGTACGAACATAAATGCATGTTTATAAGCTAACTATTTGAGTGCTGAAAAAACTTAATTAAATGTATTATGGTATATATGAATACATCAAATACGTCTGCCATTACTACTCCATATATCAACACACTTTTAACTTTTACAATGCATTAATAAAAATAAAATACTATGACGATAGAAAGAAAACTACTCTTTCGTCTAGTACCCGTTACATATCTAAAAGTGCCATCTAAAAGTCTAAAACACGCATTCTCTGTCTACTTTCAAGTGTTTGGTTTTTATGGAAGAAGCTTTCTCTTTCGCGTGTTAAAATTTATTTGTTTTACCCTGGTGAAAAAACAAAGAGAAACGTACATATACTGTACATAACACCACATTCCAAAAATGTTTATTTTCATCAATATTACAATAATATAGTTCTGTGTAAAAAACAGACCAGCTTACAAAGACTGATATATTTTTCAAATGAAAAACAAACTAGTTAACATAAATACTTGCCTTAATCTTAATATCAATCTGTAAGTCGCTTGATAAAATTCAGAAGTCTATAATGTATTCTCAATATTTTGCTAATCCATTTTGAATATGAAAATGTAAGGTACCCCACCACTAAATGCATCAGCACTGTTTATTCAAGTTGGTCGTTGTTTGAGCTGCTGGTTGTCGTCCTCGTTTAGGTGACGAGATCGATGCCATATCACGCCGGAAGTAACTTCACTCCACTTCCGGTCCGGTGACGCTCCTTCTCAACTTCACGCTGCTTCCGTATCCGCTCGTTACGCTGAGAGGGGGGGGGGGGGGTGAAGTTTACACCAATTACTTGCGACTCAGTAATAACTGTATACACCATGAACACTTGCAAGTGAATACAATTTTTGTAAGTTTAAATTTGCGTTTTGAGTATTGATAAGATAGTTAAATAAAATATGAAACTAAAGGAAATGTATTACTTACTACACGATTATAGGTGTATTATACATAGTATCAGCTACATTGACATGTTTAGCTTGCCTTTGTGCATAAAAGTTTATAAATCTAAATTTTAAAAACAATTCATATTAACTTGATAAATAAAAAAATGTTGTATCAAAGAAAATTTGGTTTATCCTCGCTTATTTAAATAAACATTACAAATTCAGAATGGGTATGACTAATTTACCAGGCTCAGGAAATTCAGAAGGTCAATGGGTAAAAAAACAACAAAATACACGGTAGCTTTTTGATAACTTGAAACAGAGATCAACACTGTACGTGATCATCGGGATTTTAATCACCCTAGTAAACGAAATTAATCAGTAAAGAAGCTATACAGGT